CAAAAAGCCTTTTTACTCAAAGTAAATCTAGAGAACCCCAGCACTCCTACTCATGAGCAGCATCTTTCCTTAATGAGTCTGAATGATTACATAGATGAAAAAGAACCAAGTAACAATTTGGTCTCTTTCCACAAGCATAAATAAATAAATAAATAAATATCCCTATTTGAAACATTGCTGGTTTTTTATTAATTTTTAGAAGTGTACCTATGGGGAAAAATTGAGTAAAGGCATGTATTTTCCATCTACTCCAATTCTATTTGTTGTTTTTCCTTTACAAAAACACAGCCACTTGCATAAGTGATTTTCTACACCCTACTGAGACAATAAATAAGCACAGCCTTTCAAATTCATGCTTGAAAATTATGCATATCCCAAAAAGGACAAGATTGCCTCCTTATTGATTTATGCAGAGAACATTATATTTCTCCTTCTTACCACATACTCTTCCATGTCTCTGTAATTGCTCACTGAGCCACCATTGCCCATATTCTCAATGTTATTAGCAGCAGACAACTTCACAACTACTGAGTTTGATTCAACATCTCAGATGAACACAACTGTGAAAGCAGCTTGATGAGCATCAATCTAACAATCATAAAGCAGATATAAAACCACATTTTTATGTGCATTGCAATGTTACTCTTAGTCATTGAGGGAAAATGAATAACTAAAATGTCACAATGCTCAACTAATATGCCTGGATTATTTCATCAGCTGGGCCACTGTGCAATAAAATGCAAGGAAACCAGGCTCTGCTGGAGTTTTTGTGGTTTGAGTAAACCTGGCTGTTCATTAGCAGAGCTCATGCACAGGGAACTCACAGATGTAGGTTCCTGATCCTTTTCCAACTTCTCATTTTAAAATAATTAGCATTCTTTGCACAGGCACATGCATGAGTACACTGCAAGGGAGTGGAAAGGCTGCCCACTTGATGCAGCAGAGAAACCCACAGCAAGTGACTGAATAAAGTTCTATCACAATTAATTCAGAGAAAAAATAGACTAACTGCTATTTGTTATCAACAAGGTTTCTCTTTTGGCTTTTTTTTTTATCTTTTCTTTGCTGCTTTGGTAAAATGTGGGAGGGTAAGGTGGGAACGGGTGGCAACATCCTCTGCTCCCTGCTAAACAGAAATCAGCATTTTCAATGCACTCAATTAACAATGTTTTAGGTCTGTGTCAGAGTCTTCATCAGAGCTAATTGATTTCAGGCACAGGCAAATCTCACCATTCAACATCATTATGCAGAGGTAGGTGGTGAAAAGGAAAACAGATCTCTGATTAAAGAAAAGCATGAGGGGGAGGCACACCATTTACAAGCTGCACACAGCATTCCCTCCCAGAGAAATAACAGTGTTTAAAAACATTCTGAAGAGAGATGCTTCACAATCAAATTTCATAGGATTGATCTGGAAGCCCCAGAATCGGAGAAGTGACAATGGACCAAGCTTTGTAAAAAGGCAGACATCTTTATCTCAGGAGACAACATGGGAGAAAGAAAATTCAGTTATATTTCCTGACTTACTTCCCTACTCCTCCTTCCACTCCCACTCACAAAGGGTGTTCTAGGGCAAGAGAGAAAATTGTGATAGTAAATAAGGTAATATTTTAGAAAACAAGAGTACTTATCAAATGAGCTAGCTGAATTGCAGTTTGAATGCACAACTCTGTACATGTTGGTGGGAAGATTTGAGGTCAGCGCTTGTCAGAAGGAAGAGATGCTGTGCTCCTGTTCTCTTGGCACAAAAAGCATATGTTGCCAGCATGGGAAACAGCTTTCCTGGCCTAAAGCCCACGCTGGAGTCCCACAAGATAAAAGGCTGGAAATGTCCCTTCTCTCCCACTCCTTTACACATGCAAAACCAGTCTCCAGATCTGGTTTTGTACTAAGCTAAATTCTATGTTTATATTCATCCTAACACTTTGAAACTAATAGATGCAGAACTGTATTTTGACTGACTTTCATCTCAGTCCACAGAGCTACTTTCAGCAAGCTAAAGCACAGCACACTGGCATGGCTGGCTCCACGGACACTGACATTAATCAGCCCACAGAGCCTGCAAGTGCCCAGCTGCAGGCACTGGCATATAATCACCATACAGATGATTATATTTTTAGCACCATCTAATTAAGCCCTATTTTCCTGGCCTTAGAGACAGCTACATGGCATCTCCCCTGTTCCAGCTTCACCTCATTAATTAGAGACCTTTTCTTTCAAACAAGACAGGTGCTGTAGCCAGCGCCACAACTATTCTGGGGCAAGTAATGTCACATATATAAGAACTTCACCCAGCTTCCTAACGCTTTTTATGTAAACGTGAACAAATAAATAGCTGCCAGTTTTCTCCCTTATTATTCAACAGAGGATGTGTATATAATAATAAAAGGGCAAATTGCTATGATGTTTGCCATTTACTTCTACTCATCATAGCTTGCTCACTGCTTTCTACTGCAATGCACCATATATTTTCACCTTCTTTTTACCTTCTGTATATACTAGAAGTATAAACTACTTACAAATGTCATTTTAACACACTAAAGCTTTAATTACCCTTTCTTTCTACCTTTTCAGAAATGCATTTTGCTCACATTGTGTTTATACACAATATCTTAGCAGTAAAAACAATAAAAAAGTTTTAAAACCCAACACAGCCGTGACAACAGTGCAACATGAATTTGCTGCCTCACTGAACCACAGAAGCATCACCATGTTTCTGCATCAGACCACAAGCGAGCAACAACTGTTACGACTTTATCTCGGTACAATACTGCTGACTGCCTCAATTAAAGCGTTAGATTCCTTATTTAGATACCTCCTGCAGCCCCAACCAGCACAGCAGATGAGCACTTCTGACAGTTGCTACTCATATCCCAACACTTTTTCCCACCTTCTGGGGAGGTATATAGCGAGTGGAACATGATTTTCATCCAGCTATAAATTCTATATATACTCCACTTCTTTTGCCAGAACAGTGAAAACAAGAAGCTTCCCTGAATGTTCACTTCATCTGAGAAAGTACTGTAGCAGTGGTGCAGGTGGATTAGTCAATAACAGTGCAATGCTTAGAGAAACGTACATTAAAATACATAAAAATAATCCCATAGCGACGTTCAGAATTTAGCTCCTCCCCATGGCAGCGCTGCAAGTTATCACCTGGGTCGCTGGAATGTGCACGTTTCAGGTACCTTTTGTTACACTCGGGCACAAAGGTGAACAGCCAGCTGCGAACCGCAGCCTGCCCCGCCGCCGGACGAGCGGCGCCCTGAGCCCTCACAGCCGGGCCAGCCCTGCCCGGCACCGCCGGCCACGGCTAGCACGGGGCCCGGAGAAAGGCTCACTCACTCGGCTGGCCGGCCCCAAGGCGCCTCAGCTGGGCCGCCGAGCCCAGCCCGGGCCCTCCCGCTCTCCGCCCACACGAACCAGCAGCGCAGGGCCTGCCCCAGGAAAAACATTGATTTCTTGAAGTAACCCCTTGGGAGCCTTAAAAATGGCTTCGGCAAAGCCTTGGAGAGCAAGGAGCCAAAGCAACCCTCTCCTCCACCTCCTCCGCTGCCTCTCCCAAACTAAGTAAGGGCAGCAGCCTTTTGTAATAACTCTGTAATCCACTCAGAGCATGGAAACTCAAAACACAAATCAGTTTGTGCAATACATCTTTATTTCAATTTTATTTTTTTAATCTTTGCAGTCATCTTGGAGTAATCATCATGTAAACAGTAGGATGGGATGGGATTACATTGAGTCGAATGCAAATAGTTCTAGAACACCTCAACGATTATGACAAGGCATTATAAATAACTTCTCTTAACAATATATATTTGCCATTTTCAGTACATTAAAGAGCTGCCACTTATCTAGGATTAACTAGGAAGTAGTTTAAAGTGTAACCTCTGAGAAACATGTCTCCAAATGTGGAAGTCGTTCTAAGGTTCCCTAGCTCCATAACATCTATGTCACAGGTTAAACAGAGGACTACTTGGGTCGAAGTGTTTTCTTTGTAACAGAGTTTTACTTGATCATTGCACAAATCCCTATTATTTTCACTCCACCTTGGTATTTAGCAGAACTTCAAATAAAGCTTTAGTTCCATTCTTCAAGTTTTTATTCACTTGTATAAAACTGGTTTCTATCATTTAGGGTAAGTCAGATCAGAGATGGACACAGTAAGCGTTCTACCTTAACAGTTCACAGTAGCTCTAGCTCACAGACTCCCCAATAAAGCATAGTCAAAATACTCTAACACCTCTGCTACTGTATATCCCCTCCTCGCTCAGATAACTATATATATTTATATTTATTGTACCATATGTATGGTACCTCTAGAAAATGGAGATTATTTATATAAGCAGCCTCAGGCACATTCTTAAAACATTAATATCTGCAAGGCACCTCCCACTCCCTTGAGGATCAGTTTGTGGACTGTGACACACAACCAACAAAACCTTCCTAATGCCAGATCAAATTATTTCAAAAAACCCCTAGAAGTTACCAAATACTTCAGACATACCTGAAACTTTTTAAATAGTGGGAGATTAACTGCAAATAGCACATAATCAAGTCAAATAATTTTCTTATTACTAGTGTGTGTAATGCATAAATATATGAAAAATAAAATTCACAGTAATTTTTTAAACTAGAATTCAAGTTTGGCTAACATTTCTAAACTTTTATATGTATGTTAATTTCTAAATGTAACAGAACAGAGGCAGTATTATCAACCACAAGTACAGGTAAAATAGTATCACTCAAAGTCTGTGAAAGAAGTAAGCTTGATAGAAAGTTCCTTTTTTAACCAATAAATAAAGCCACCTGAGAGCATTTCCACAGGCTTTTCACTTTGGGAGAATCCAAATCAACTGCTAAGAGACATTTAGGAGCATTTTGAACCTTAAGAGCAGCGGTGTAGCTGTGGGCTTTGCTTGTTCTGACTTTGTGAATTGCTAGATAATGAAGCAGAACTCAGTGTGTGGTGCATTAATTTTCCTTTGCATCTAAGCTGGCTTTTTTGCAATCTCACAATTCGGCTTGGGGTCAAGGGACAGACATCAGCTGACACTTAACTGAGCAAAACCAATCAGTTTCACTTCATCAGGAATCTCAGTGCCATCACAGCCAGAGGCCTGCAAGTACAAACAGAAATGTTTAGTATATCATGCTACAAAGGAGCATTTGACAGCCAAGATATAAAATTCCCCATATCACCCAGTCAGCAAACAGCTTGATTGAAGGAAAGCTTTCAGACTGCTTCAAGTGGCCTCAGTCAGCATCAAACAATTGAATCCGTAATTTTAGCAAACTCTTATAGTCAGCACTAAAAATTATGGGAAAAAAATACTGAAATACCCCAAATCTTTAATCCAAACTTTCCAGACTGGAGCCAAATTTGCTCTTTCATTGGAGTAAACAGATTTCACTCATGAAGAGCATCCCATATACATGTATAGAACCCACTTTTTACCACTGTGCTGTACACAGCAAATGTCTCATGAGTTCAGCCAGCAAGTTAGGTCACCAACCAGATGAATTTTTAAACAAGAAACTGAAGCAGTCTTCAGTAAAGGAGTAAATACTAATATTTGCAAAAGGACAGTTCCCCCCTGACAGTACAATCCAGTACTTAAAATTGTACAGTTTAGATTCTTCAGTAAAGCCTGTCACAAAACAAATTAGCACAAGTGATCAGTTCATTTTTCATATATAACAATATAACACCATATATAAGAATATAACACCACTTTGCTCAGGACTAAACAATTAATTTAGGTCTGTTTAAAAAAAAAACATGCTGGAGGCAGAATATTTCTGTTTTGATTTTTAAAAACAGAAGTTGCTTCTGTAGGACAAAAGTGACATTTTAAATAAAGGGGTTTATACATTTTCATCTGTATGGTAGATAAGTCAAAATATTAATAGAATTAGATTAAAATGTGCAATGCTAACTTACTTATAACAGGATGCCTTCAGATTCTTTTGCGTATCACAAAATACCTCCAACACAACAATTGGTCCACCCTATAAAAATTCTTTTGATCCTTTTTTGCATTAGTAGCAGTTGACTCCTTTAATAGAACTGGTTCATGAACATGTGCTGTAAGGTTAAGAGCTCTCAGATTGTGCACAGAAGGTGCACTGACACATTCCATTGAATTTGCATGACCAGAAATAAAACTCTGTTGACACTCGTGGAATTATTACATCAGGCTACTCCTTCAAATTTACTTTGAGCAGACACAGAGGACAGAAGTTCTCTCTTCAGACAGTATTTCACATCTCTTATTCCACAGAAGCAGCAAGTTAAAGGTCTGAGATCATCACTCCTGGTTACTATTCAGATATCTGAATGGTAATTTGGATTGGGAATTTACCAAATAAATGGAGTTTGAATTTTGCATTTAAAATGTAATGCTAAAAAGTGCTACTACTACTACCACTGTTCTATACTCTAGCTAGCGATCAATCTCCTCAAAGCCATGCTAAGTAAGATGTCTAGATGCATATAGATATTTAAATGCTTCCTTATCAATAAATATTATCTTACCTCTATTTAATGCACCTGGAATCTATTAACTTATATTTTGTGCCTAGCATAAATACAAATACTATACACAAACTGCAACATAAAAGTACTTGGTAGAGACTGAACACACTCTTTCATTACTGGGTTTCTTTCCACCCTTTTTCATCAGCAAAGTCCTTACACAAAATGCAAATTATGCCGTGCAATGATTTTGTGTTTTCTTGAGTGTTTCCAGGATTATTTGTGCGTTAAAGCAGCCTCCTTCCCAAAGTGTGGACAGCTGGATCCTACAGGGAAGTTTTCATTCTGTGTTAGCCAAGACAACTAGGAGATATTTAATACTATACATGTTCTGCAGAATTACATAATTTTAAGAGCAAAGATATATTGTTTATAAAATATGCAAGAGAAGGAATCCAACCCCTGACATCAAGACACCTCACTTTAAAAATTTTCTTTACTATTTCTGTAATAATTAGATAAAAAAATAGTTAAGACATAAACTGTTCCTTTTTCACCCCAAAGATTAACAGCTTGCTGTTTGAATAGAAATATTATTTACCAGCAACAGCAACGTGTAAGCAGTGAGATACTAACCAGACTCCTTGTCCAGAAATACTAGCAACTAGTCCTAGACTAAGAAATATTTTGAATTGAATTTTCTGAATGGATATAAGCTACATTTAGATCTTTAATCCCCATTAAATATTTCCCAACAAAATGTATTTTAATCAAGTTTTATATAAGTGCTCAAATTCAGTGAGATCTTGCTAAGAGGTAACAAAGACCCAGTAGTGCATACAAAAAATGAGAGTCCTCATTGGCAACAATTCACTTAGCAACTTCATTATACAATACAGAAATAGGCAGAAGCAGAATATACATTAAATTAATCCAAGGAGAAAAATAAATTGGGATACTTCTTGTTATGGACTTTCCCCATGAAAATAGGAACTAGTGCAGGAAACCCAGGTCAAAAGTATGAGGAGGAAACTAAGGTTAAAAATGAACTTCCAGAATTCTGACCTATCCAGTGGAACTTGCCTACAGCAGGGACAAAGACATTGATTTTGGATTGTCTACTAATTCTGAGTATGGTAAGGAGTAGGATGATAGCAGCATTCAGTCACTGGAATCTGAAATTCTAGGTGACATTGACTAAACCTCAGCAATAAATCCAACTGAATCACCAAAAAATAGAAAAAAATATCCCAACCTAAATTTTCAAGTGGATTTGTTTTCAGCTTACATAACCTGGATACTATGGGATATTACATTTTGGAATCACAGGCCTCTATTTTAAGTGTGGGAATCAGAAACCCAGGCTTCTCAGAGCCTCTGGAGTATCTGTTACCTAAATGCTCTTGGTGAGATGCCATTTACTACACAATAAAGCAAAGTCAGATGTTTAGACAGCAAGAGCACAGATTAGCTGCAAAAAGAAAAGCACTAGCTTTTAAGCTATATTTATAGCAAAGGCCAGAGAAAGAAATGAAGTTGAGTTACGTGTCTTTATTCCCCTACCCCAACCCCTTCTCACAAGGAAGGTGGAAGTTCAGGGGGTTTCACTGGACTGTAGAAGAAAAATGAGTTCAAATGAGTCAGCTAAAACTCCCCAGATCTGTATAAAGAATGACATGGGATGAAGAGTCTTGAATTAATACATCATCATCAATTAGGTCCAAAAATGGCTCTCTACAGCAGCTGCCTTTATAAACAAAGCTGTGATTCTGGAGACCTGCTTATCTAACACATTCAGTCTAGTCTCTCATGTGAGAGTCACTCTCAGCAAAAGGTGCTGAAAGCTAATTGGTATTTACGTAACTAATAATTCAACAGCTTCAGGTATATACATTTTTCAACTTCATTTTAACAATAAATAAAAACACACACAGCACATCAATTCTGGCTCCATTTTTTGCAATTTAAATTTATTAATATTAAATTAAATTTATCATGCTATGATCAATATTGACCAAAATTAAGGACCCATGGTCCAGTGTACAAAATGCAGCACAGAAAGGAGTCCCAAGCCCCAACCCAGGGTCTGATGACATACATACAGAAGATAGAAAGAGGTAGAGAAGGAGAAAACAACAAAATACAGTGGGAGAAAGACCAACATGCAGGTGTGGATGGTCAACTGAAAGAAGGCTGAAAAGAAGAACTAAGGAGAAGCAAGCAGTGGAGAAGGTGACCTGCATGCAAGAAAAATGGGGGCAGGTCTTTGAAAAAATGGGATTGGAACAATATGTCCATCAGCAGAGGACACTTCAGCCAGGGTAGAGCTAAGGGAGTAGGGCTGAAGGAGTGTTAACCTAGCTATTACCGTTTTCTCTGCTTTACTTGTTTCTGCAATTCTTCCCAGGGGTTTTCTTACTGCAGCTTCTCCCCTAAACCTCAGGCTGCCTCAGAACTCATGTGACTGAACCTCCTTCACCATGCAGTTATGTCACTGTCCTTTCAAAACAGGGTTTAAGCTTTTTCTCTAATACATGGAAATTTCAGTCACTTTAGTTGTCAGCACATTTATTCAACAAAGTATCTGCAACTGAGATAGAACCCAGATTCTGTGTGAAAATTGTGATAATTTGTTTGTTTCTTCCATAGATGCTTTTACTTACCAACTTAAAAGTCAATGTTTTCAAGGCCTTTGGATCATCTACTATCTTCTGTAAGTTAGCAGCAACTGTAAAACAAGGACAAAAAATGTGATTTACAGAAAATTGCATTCAACTTGACATCAAGGCTTTTGCTGAATCTTCTACTTAATTCTACACATATATGTGCCTGTAAATTACCACTTGAATCATTTAATCCCTCTCTAGCTGTTGTTTCAGAGGGCAGTTGGGCTGCCATAAATCCTACTTCCTTTCTTTCACAGTCACTGATACTTTGTGACTATGTGAACTGATTCAGGGAGATAATCTGCATGAAAACCAAATTATAGGAAAAAACCCAATTTACTAATTCTCAGTTTAGTCTATTCCATAAATACTTAACAATCACACAAATGCAAGTGCAAGGAAGATGGGAGAATCAGACAGCCAAGGATAAGTTGATGGCTGGCATGATTTATATCATCTTTCTGCTATAGCCAGGGTCACTATCAACATCAGTTTCTAGCAGAACGCTGAGCTCACTGTCCCCTCTAACTGGTTTTATGCATGTGCTTCTCTCCCTTTTTTGGGCTGGCACTAACACAGACTTTAGGTGATATGTTACAGCTCACTAGCAGAAAAACAACAACAAAAAAAGTTAAAATATGAGAGTGACACAAAAAGAGCTGATCTTCAAACTACTCTCTTAGAAAACATGATCAAGATTTGTGATGTAACAGCAATAAACACTTTAACTGGATGAACAGAGCTTGAGTGTCCAGAAAAGGAAGGTGTAACAGAAATATCAGGAAGGAAACAATTTACTCATTGAAACAGAGGAGAATGCAGGAACTTAATAAACACTTTTCTACCAAAACACCTAAGTTACAATTTTTAATTGGTCTGTTTTAAGAATATTGCTACCGTTAGTCTTGACTCCAATCTGCTTTCAGCTTTGTATGTTTACTTAACTGGCTCCCCAACTTTGCACAGTCACAGATCCTTAACTAAATCAGACCAAATCATTAAGGACCTTTGTTCAAGACTGATATATGAGCACAAGATGTAACCAATAGGATATGAGCATGAGATAAATATTTCACACCTGGCAGAGCTGTTTAAACAAGATTATAAAAAGGAAATGAACAGGTATTAAGTAGCAGACATTTCTTAGTACACTGACTAGGTGAGTACTGTAGAGCAAAGAGGCAAGCAAGAAAATGCTGCCCATAAGTAACTCTCTCCACATCATTCATATGGTGGAAGATCACACCAAACATTTGCACATTCCATGTCCTACAGCTACAAGCTTAGGTTTCTGCTTCCTCCACCTTCTAACTTTGTGATGACATTTTCACTCCCACTGTGCCTGATCATGCATGATCCACTGTGTAATAACAGAAATTCACTTCACAGGGGGAGTACACTATCTAGCAAGGGAATTTAGAGAAGTAAACAATTAGGCCAATCTGCCACTGTTAAATGCAAATCAGTTTTCTGTGGGTCTCATTTTCTTTATACAATTAAAATGGCATCAAGGATTGTTTATACACTTGTAATAAATTTAACTGGAGATGAAAGTGTGTATGAAGTTAAAAACAGAACTTAAAAGTAAGCATAAGGTACATTTAGTAGAGAACACTTTTTGTAAAGAAAAGAATTAACCTTCATAGTTAAATGAACTCAACTACAGGCACTACAATAGGAAGTCTTTCCATTTTTAAAGCCTCATTATTAATAAAATTTTTTATTCTACCAGTTACAAACAGTTTTTTATTTTAGTCACACAATTCACTTCCACAATCTTTAAGTCAATTTTATTGCAATACCTCCTACCTGATAAAACACATGCAAATACATATCATTTGTATTAATTACAATTAATATTTAGAATCTTAGGAACATTCAGCCTTGTATCTTCTGAAGCCAGGATAGAATAGCTTCCATTTTTTATGTTTTAAAAATTTATAAAATACGATCATGCACTCAAGAGCAGCTCAGGATTATCCAAATCTCTGTAAACAATATCTTAAAACAAAAAAAAGAAAAAATTCTCCAGCTAGTGCTAGCTGGCTGCACTGAAGACAGTGCTACAAAGCCAGATAGGCATTGGATCCTAAATCCAAAGATTTCTAACTTCACCTAAATAAAATGTTACAAAAATACGAGCTTCAAGTGCATGCATATCTTTTGGAAGGACAGCCTATCATTTAATGTCAACCTGCCGTGGAACAACTAAGGCAAGTCAGCGTGCTGCTGGGCTACTCCCCCAGGAGCAAACCTTCCAGCTGCCCTTAGGCAGTTACTGGTGAAGGTATTATTACTGCTTTTGCAAACAGCAGCCCACGACCAGCAAGGGCTTTAATGAAGTAGCATACATTGGCTAAGGGGCATCAGGGATGTCACAGGTAGTATCGAGTCTTTAAAAACCCTAACACTGCTCATGACTGATTCTTTAGCAGCAAAGAAATTAAAAATTTCCAAGTAAAAATAGCAAAATTGGATTCTTCATATATGTAAATAGCTAATATTAATTACTTTGTTGTTGTTGCTGTTAAACACTGTATCAGAAATGAGTGGTATTTTAGATGGTTCTCATTCCTCAAGAAAGCCAAGAACAGTGCTCAGTAAAAGGCTATGTGACACAGTGTTATTTATTCACTTGTCTTTGCTTTTAATATGAACTCAAGTCAGAAACTTTCACATATTAAATATGCTTTATTTTTGTTTTTTTCTGACGGACCATAGCTAGAGTGGGATATGTGTAATTAAATAGAAGATTAGGAGGGTTTAAGGGCAAAATGTCACATATTTCCAGGCTGTGCTTGAAAATGAGAAAGCAGACCTATACAGAGTCCATAATATTAGAATACAGGTTTACATTAAGAATAATCACATCTGCAGTTTCCTACAGAGAGATCTTTTCAATTTTAATTGTACATACTCAGCATTTTCAAGTACAACCAGCATTTCACCTCTGACTTTAGTACTGTGTTTTACATTTTCTGGCCTTTAGAGAAAGGCAATAGAAATCATTTAGCCAAAATAATGTCATTAATCACAGTCAGTCAAGCCACCTTGAATGTAAATCCTCCCAAAAGCCTACTCTTTCTGCAATATCTGAAAGCATATGTAATTATCATCAACTAAGAGCCAAGTATTTGCACATACTTATCGAGCAAAACCATACCATCCTACTGGTATCCTTTTCATTTTTCTAACTCCTTGCTTTTGTTTTACTAGGTCTTGCCCTTATTTAGACCACAAGGGCAAAAATTAGAGGCAACTGTCTGAATTTGGATACCTAAAGTCAGTATTTCAGGAAACTCTAAAATATGGTTCATTACCTTTAGGGATGAGACAATCATTACTCTTTTCTTCTTAATGCAAGCCAAACCTTGTAGGACCTCAGTAAGTACATAGCTTTGGATGTGTCCCTCTGCACCTAAAATGTTTAAGATCTGTGTTCAAGTGGTAATTGAAATCCTTTGGAGCCTGATGAAGTCACCTAAGAAAAACATAACCCATAAACTGCAGGTGTTCATGGCATCCCTATTTTAGGTAAATTCTCTGGAAACAGAGCCTGCAGCACAAGCAGTAGAAGCCATCCAAGCAGGTGAAAGTACTTCCTGAATGCCTCCAGTCCCTTCCAGTTAATTCTCCAGAAGATCTGGGGATCCCATGCAGAGAGGATATCCTCAGAATTATAAATACAACAACATACTCTACATCTGAATGCTCATCCTACTTTAAATGCAATTAAAGATATAATTTGCAGTAAATGTAACTGACTTAGCACTCTTGTAAATATATTTCTAAAAATTTAGGACTATTACTAAACCTACACAGTTTGGACCACTAACTTTTGCAAATTTCCCCCAAAGACACCAAACAAATTCATGCCAGGCATACACTCGTGACAGTAAAGAATGCTTTCACTTGCAAGCAGTTGCTGTTACTGTTCAGCCCTACACAGAATTACTTGTCACTTCAGGCAAGTAAAAAACCCAATTATTTTTAAGTGGAACTATTAGACTTTATTGATGAAAATCTTCTGCAGCTACTGGATTTAGGCTCCTCTCATTCAGGAAAATTATTTACTAGGCCAAGACTCACTAACCCTCCTAGTACAATTCACATGCAAAGTTCTAATTTGGCTTAAATACGACAAATGAGACTAAAGTTTCTAAATGCTCAGTTTCTAAATTAACCCAATCACATCTGCAAACCACAGTGAGGAAAATAACCATCCCATTCTCACCACCTTTCCCCACCCCACAGTCCCAATAATTCTTGTGTTGCAAGTTGGTGAACAAAATCAATTTAATACAGTAACACTCCCTGAAGTGAAAAGGAGTTTCATACTAGGACTTTCTAGAGAGGCAGGAATTGTTTCCTCCGCTGACACTTAGATTATTTGGAAAAGTGAGGAGCATTGTAAAACATCTCTTTACACCTTATCTCTAAGCTAAGTATATTGCAGTTCCTATTGACAAAGCCATTTTTCTTTGAAATAATCTGAAGTCATGCCTTGCATGTTGTACTTGTGAAATTCATAGATTAGCACCTGCAAGCAGCACTTATTGATAATTAAACTCCTTTTGGGAATTCACTGTTTCTACAGGACCTGGATATCCTATACTCTTTTATTTTGCAGCATTTTCTCACTATGTTATGACCATGCACCTATAAAAGTCAGAAGAAGAAACATGAACAAGAAAAGATTAAGTGGTGATGGAAAAACCTTTGCCAGCAGTAACCTCAGGTAAATAGAGTATACTTCAAATCATGCCTTGGAGCAAAAGCTCTCTTTAGACATTAGTAGCAGTTAGGACAAGAGGCTTTTTGTTGTTTACAACAATAAATGAGGTGCTGTTCACTTTCTTCAGAAGGCTTCTGAAGGACATGTAATCAACCTACACACCACAAATCTTTCCAGGTTCTTTTGCAGGTTTTGCTCAGTGACAAATGGTTGTGCCACTCTGACAAAATAAGTGTCTGCACTTGCAGAACATGCAATAGGAGAAAAGGTCAAACCCAGCATATAAATATACACAACACAGGGTGTTAATTGCAGATGATGTAAATA